TATGAGATTTGTGAGCTACACGTGTCGTTGGCAGTGCCGGCGTGTGAGCTATGGAGTTCCGTCCCCCGGTTGGACTACTCATCCCTGGACGCGGGTTAGTGTTCGGAAATCCTGCGTACCAGCTAACAATCCCCCAGTTGGATTGTTTCCCCGGTACCTTAGTATGGAGTGAAGCAGTATATTATATTAAAGTCCTAGATATATATATATATATATATATATTTAGATATGAGTATTTACGGGATGGTGAGAGTTGCATATCATTGGGAAATGAGTGGTGGATTTGAGTTGTGGAGTTGTTTTGGACTTTGGGAATTTGTGTTTGAGTTTTGGTTTCTGAATTGTGAAACTGCATGTTAGAGCATTATTTTTACATGGTGGGGTTACTATGTTGATTTAAAGTGAAACTTTATTTTTGTCCACTCACATCTTTCTGTTTTTGCGCCCCCCAGACAGTAGTTGCTTTTGAAGGCGTTCAAGCAAGTCACGAGCTCCAAGCTTGTCGTCAGTTGTTAGGGTCTGTATAAATTATTTCTACTCTACTGTTTGTTGTAAACAAATTCTGTAGACGCTCTGTTATCGCCCATGTTAGGCTGCTACTTGAGGCCGGAGGCCGTTTTATGTTGGATTGTTGTATGTTAAAAGCTGCTGGCTGTTGGAATATATCTATGATGTAAATTATGCAGGTTGAACATTGTTGGGTTTGAGCATTTTACAGAGGAGACCCTGCCAAAATTTTGGTAGGATGTCTTGGATTTTTAGTAAGTGGGCCCGGCATCAGTGTGATGTCGGCACCAAGACGGGATCCGCCTCGGATTCAGGGGAAATTCTGGGGCGGGTCCTGTCATTCTCACCATTCTTATCGGCGGTGAATTGTCCACCATAGCACTCAATAACAGAAGGGCAGCCCTTAAGTTTGATGAGCACCTCTGCCTCATGCTGGACAGACCTTAAACACGGCACCCCATTAGACGATTTCACCACCATAATTTCAGGCCTACGACAAAACCGTGTTATGGGTTTCGTGGAAGTGGCAAGATGAACAGACCCATATCTTCCTCCGATCAGCTTTCCTCTTACCCAGTTCACTCTATGATTACGCCTGCAATTCCTCTGCTTCTTTATGTTTACTTCTACTTTTATTTCTGCCTTTCTTTTCATGATTGATAGCTTCTTCACAACAAAATTCACAGCCCTAGTGTTTCTTGGACTCTCTCTACTATAACAACAGTGAGATGAAAGGAAGGTGAAATAGGGGTTTTATAAGGGGATAAAGTCGGTGGGACTCCCTTGATCTGAGACTTGGACGCCAAACTACTAAATAACAGCTGGAAAACTACAACTAGTGCTAGTTCAAAACACGTTTGAATTTAGAAACTTTTCATTTTTAACACACAAGGATTAGGACTGTGATATTACGGTGCTAATTACAGGCTGACAAGAAAATTAGAGTTGGGTAATATCAATATAGATGAACTTTTATTTAAAAAAATTATGCTTTGCTCAAAGTAATTACATAAAACCTAGATACCAATTACACTATTAACACCAATTTGCAAATGGGAATGAAATATTGCAAATAATTATGGGTGCATTAGACAATTTTTTTTTTCAATACCCAAAAAAAATTACTTTATGTATTTTTTTTTTAAACATTCTCTTTTAAAAAAAAATTACTTATAAATTCTTTTTTATGAGAAATAGAAATGAAAAATCGCTGAAGAAAACCATAAAATATCCCAAGTTCGAAATTCCCCCACTCCTTTGACCATAACACAAATAATAATAACTTTTAAGTATTTTAAAATTTAAACCAACCAAAATTCTTAGCACATGAGAATGGCCCCAAGATCATCTGGGTCTTGGTAATATAACACTCAATCGTCAGAGCATTATGGCCTCACATTCATTCGAGATACAAAAGTGATTCTACGATTCAAAAACACTACTTCTTAATTTTCCAGCCAAATGCAGTCAGAGAAGCGCTTTTGGCTGTCATAAAGTGTTTTGAGCCCCTCTAGAAGCACTCCCAAAAATGTTAGTCTAGTTGACCAAACAAAAAAAATAAAAAAAGGCTCTTAGTGTGTTGTGGTATTTATCTTTCCAATATTTCAAACATTCAAAGTTCGAATTTCCCCTCCCCATTGATTAAAAAAATACTTTCCGCCATTTTTGCTGAAAAAATCATCATTTTAAAACTTTCAATAGCCTAACATTAACCAATTGGGTGTTTAGTTGGATTGCCCCATACCTTTGGTGTGCTCCCAAGTGGTCCTGCGTTCAAGCTCCCATGGTATCTCCTACCTCCCTCTTCCTAACTTTGACAAAAAAATCCTAACATTAAAACTTAAAAGAAAGTAAAACTAGCTAACGAGGTGCAGCCTAGTGAAAAAGGGCATTGATTTGCAGACCAGTGGTCTCAAGTTTGAACCTCATGACATCCTAGTAGTTTATATGTGTGAGCAACTCCCCTTCCCTTATAGTTTAGACTATCGCTTATATTAAAGAAAAATGAAAAATAAGATGCGTACAAAGAAAGGGGAAAAACTTTCATCAAGTCCTTTGAAAAAATGAAAAATAAGTATGCTTGGCATGTCCAAACATGATGAGGATGTGTTCCAAAAAAAAAGAAAAAAAAAAAAAAGAAACGGTTGTTGGCAATGCGATGTGTGAGTGAGCAAATGGAGAAATATCATCAATGAATGAAGTTAAGGTTTCACACCCAAAATTAATTGGCAATATGGGGAGTACTCGAATTCCTTATAACTCATGATGAGTCCCTTAACTTTTTTAATGTGGGACAAATACTCTGCACAATCAAATTGAATTTGCAAAGAATGATTCTGAATTTTAAAAATAAATTTAGCTCTGAGAATCAGCGGGTGGGGTTGGTGATTTATTGTATAAGAACAGTAAGTGAATTTGGGGTTTTATGAGGAGAAAATAAAGTCGGTGGGGTTTCTCTATATGATGGTTTTTCCTTGTAACGGTCGGATTTAATTGAAGTGTTGTTTGATCAGAGACTTTGATGCCAAGCTACTAAATAACAGCTGAAAAACTACAACTACTTTTTCAAAAAGCTTTTGAATTTAGAAACTTTTTTACCCCGTGTTGGGCTCTTTTTCCTTCGGAAGGCTTGTCCGGACTTGTTGATTCTTGGACTGTTATAGAGTGGTGAATCAAGCCTTTGTTGCCACTTTTTTTGAGTTAGAGAGAACTAGGCCCAAAGCATCTCGAGGGAGAAGCAAGTCCTAGGGGACTACTTTGTTCTTTTTCCAGCGACTTCGTGTTTTGTGCTAATGTTTCCAACAACTAAATGAAGAGTTGGAGATGGTCCATTGATGTTGCACAGGCTTGGCATGAGAGTTTTCTTTGGTGAATCAAGTTACTACTATGCTTTGCATGATAGGCTTGTGGCATGGGAGCTAAGAGAAAATGAGCATAAAGAAAGGATTAAGGCTTGAGATTTTGGGTGTTTTCAGTAGCTAGATGAAGTGCCTGCAATGTCTACATTTTCTTACCAAAAAGGTACTTAATAGCTCGCATTGATTTTGAATGAAACAACTCCAAAATGAGTTAATTACGTAATTGTGTGAAGGAAAAATTTAAAGACAAAATTGAAAATAGATCCTTTTACATGAACAATTGAAAGTATTTTATCATGAAATGTACAACAAAGTGCATCGATAAAATTGTAACACAGATCATAAGGTAATTAATTGCATATTTTGATGCATCAAATTATTCCAAAAAATGGAAAAACATTTACTTAAATATCATCATATTATAGAACAAGCATGAGGATTCTCATCACTAAAGGCAGCAGTGGTTTGATAGCCATAAGCACTAGTGGAATTTGCAGGATTTTGAGAATAGCCATGAGAAGGGCCATCGTAGCCATGCTTGTAGTAGTTGTACCATGATGAAGGCTGAGGTGCATAGTCGTTGAGTGGGCCATTTCACTGCTGATTATAATATTGATCTGTACTGAAGTTATTGTGGTCGGCGCTGTAGGGGAACTGCCACAGCTCAGCCCTACGACCAGTCTTCTGGACTGTCTTGAGAACCTTCTTCTGGTCAGCCCATCCGGTGATCGTCACCTTCTGCATGGCCATGTCTATGTCAACGTTGTCCACACCTAATCAAAATCGAAGTGCAAACCATTAAGATAATAAGGTAACAAAATCAAAAATCAAAACACAGAGCTAGAAAGTCGATCCGCAACCCAGATGTGGACATCAGGAACAAAAATATAGAACCTGAATTTCTAATTTTACTTATTCTCCCTCCTCTTGCACTCTTCCATCTCTCTCCTTTCTTTCATCCCTCTAATTTACTATCTTAATGGTGTACATATACCTTTTAGCTTTTGAAGGGCATTTCTAACCTTGCTCTCACATCCGGGGCAGTCCATATGGACTCTCATCTCTACTGTCTGAGAATTGAAAAGCATCATGTCAAAGTGGTTTTGTAATCAATAGTCAGATAATATCATCTCAACTTCATTTCATTTGTTACCCAAAAAAAAGCATAGAAGCAGAGCAGAAACAGAAGTTGTCTTACCGTCATTCTGCTTTTGCAAATGGTTGAAGAAATCTTTATGAGCTTTTCTGTATGAAGCTGTATCTATGAAATTGACAGTGTATATATATGTAGTTTATTATGAATTTCGTGCACCGACTTTAATCTCCTTCTACCTGTCTTGCAGGTTACAGATGGGATCTTTAAGCAAGACATTACTTAGCAAGTATCCCATTTTTCGACCAATAAAAAGGGGCCACCTGTCCTGCTCCATCTCTTTTATGGGATCCATTACAAGCTACAAGGTTTAGAGAGGGGCATTGACTTCGTATTTAATACTAAGTCAAATTAATTATTTCTCAGATATTAGTCGTTTAATATAATGCATGACTGAAATAGTTGACCGTTGGAGTAGGAAATTTTGAGTCTAAGAAAGGCACATGTATACTGGCCAAAACTGCCGGATTCTGAGACGGGACTATGTCTGATATGGGAAATATTATTGCCACATGTTAGAATGTGGTTTTAATTCTTCTAAGCATGCGTCAATGCCTTACATTTCTTCCCTTCTCAGTTCAATCAAGCGAAACCAAGCTACGTTAGATTGCCATTGGTTTTGTTGATGATGATCATTATATCCAGGTATGAATTTATTTGTTTACGTTATATAGTTTAATTTTATATGCTATGCTATAGATACGGTCATCCTAATGACTGACGAAAATGCACCCATTACAGAATTGAGATTATAAATCTAATAATTCTATTTATTTCCTTATATTCCTTTTTTGGTGGGACAAACTTCATAAGAGTCTGAATGAGTTCTAAAGTTCTAAAGTTCCATGAGTTCTAATACAAACATGCAATAACTAATCAAAACAACAAAAGTTTCATGAGTTAATAGACGCATGCTAGCAAGTCAGTTAACCATGACGAAGTTGACATGTCATGGTAGACCGCATGTTTGTACCCTCTAAAATCTGCTGCAGGGTCTCAACTGCTTGATAAACTTGGAAAGGCCTTGTAAGCAATGCAACTGATTCCCCTAATGCCACGAGCGGCCTAGTACAGGACAACATACACTCGTTGTGCTCCAGCAAAGAATTTGAACTTAATGCCTTAGTAAAAAGTACAAAATTGAAAAAGTTGAAGTCATAACAAATTTATAATTTTACCTCAGTGAGTCCTCTTCATATCTAAAAAACAATATTAAGTACAAACTCAATAACGAATTTGGTAGATGATCACTGAAACAAGAAACGAATTCACTAGAACAAGAAACGAATTCAGTAGACTCCACCTAAGTCAGCCTTCTCTTCACCTCAAAACCCGTGAGGCTTCAGAGTATACGCAGCAGAACAAATGATACCAACGCCCACAAGTGAGACTTGCCTCACGCAGGAAACTTTCGCACACACATATACGGGAAAGCTCTCAACCTTCTATTCACAATAGCAAAGGATTACAAATTTTCAGTTTCAGTTGGATTACCACATCAATTGGTATCTCAACCACACACCTTCACAAGGTATTTATAAGCTTACACTATGTAGATGACACCCCCATCTATGTAGGAAACCTTGCCAACCGTTAGATTAGCCACCTGGACATGTTTTCCCTCCACAAAAACCTGTCTAGCA